ACTTGTTTGTCTTGTTATATAGATATATCTAAGTGAATTGTTAATATCTATATTTTGAGGGTATCGGTATAGGTGAAAATGAGAGTAAAGGAAGTCTGCAATCGACATCCACACCCATCGTTGTTCCCTATGTTGACAGAATAAAGTGATAAATTTATTTGAGACATTGAAATTTATGATTAAATATGTATTTATTATTTGATATAAAGAAGAAAAGAATATTATTTTTTAGGAATAAAATGTTGAAAAGAAATTTGAATAAATAAAAGCTTTTAGAATAAATATTTGTCAATAATAAAATAGTTTATGAAATGTTTTTAACATTGATTTAAAAGAACATTCAAAGTATCATCATAATTAGCAGCAAGAGCAATATCTATTTTTCCATCTTGATTAAAATCTGCAGTTGTAACAGCTATACCATACCATTGGGTAGTAAATCTTTGATATGTTTGAAATTTTCCATTTTGTTGATTTAAAAAAATATAAACAAAATCATCATTAAAACATGGGGCAATAATATCAATGAATGTATCATTATTTAAATCAGCTAATGCAACTGATCTTGAATATCCATCAATATAATATGTATCTCGTCTATTAAAATTTCCATATCCATCATTAAAAAAAACATTTACTGTAGATAATTTGTCATTAGTATTAACAATATCTATAAAATTATCATTATTTAAATCAGCAGTGGCAATACCCCATGGACCAATACCTGCGAAATATTTTTTTCTATTTTTAAACATTCCATTTTTAGAATTCATATAAATACTAATTGTATTATCACTAAAATCAGTAGTAACAAAATCAGGATACGAATCATTATTAAAATCAGCAACAGATACAGCTGTAACATCATTCCCGACTGTATATGTTTTCGAATAATTGAATGATAAATTATAATAATCATATAAAATAGTAACAGAAGCCTCATGACTATTGACAACAACAATATCTAATAAATTATTCTTATTAAAATCTGAAATACTAAGCCAATATGGAAAAAATCCAACTGCATAAGTTATTGGCGAATTAAACTTTTGGTTACCGTCATTGATTAAAATGGCAATTTCATTTGAGTGAGAATAAGTCAAAATAATATCTGATTTATTATCGTTATTCATATCTTTAACAGCAACATAAGTGCAATGTGAAGTCGTCAGATATGTTTTTTGTTTTTGAAATTTTCCATTTCCGGAACCATAGAATATACTAATAGTTGTATCATCTCTATTAGCAACAACAATATCAAGAAAAGAATCTGCATCTAAATAACCAGTGCTTATTGACCAGGGACCATTTTTAGTCGAATAGCTTGCATAATTTGAAAATTTTAATGGATTGCATGGAATATCTAAAAGAAATCATTTTGATTTTTGAAAAAAACAAAAAAATTATTGTTATTTTACATGGAGAATTTATGCTCGAAATATTTCTTAGAATTGATGTTGTCACTAAATGAATATATTTATTTATATATACATATTAAACTATTTTTATATTACCTTCAGTTGAAGTTGTTTTTATTCGAGTTGCTCTTGTCGTTCTTTTCGAAACACTTGTCGTTCCTGCAAACACTTTAAATTATTTAATTTTTTTTCTCTTTCTAATCGCACAAAGATCTTCATTTGATTACAAAACTTTATTTTAATTCAATAAAAACGTTTTTAGAAAAATTCTATTTATTGATCTAAACTAAAACTTAAATTAGCAATCTCAAATAAATCAATATTTTACTAAGTGCAATACACATATCTACTTGATTTTATCGGATAAAGTAATGAAACTATTCAATATCTAATTTTAATAGTTAAAGAAAATTCGTATTACCAATGTCATATTTTATATCGATGGATGAAAATGATGATTGATAACGAATCAATATAATTACTACAACAGTACCAATAATAATTGATATTGGAGTCAAAACACAACTCCAAAGAAGAAATCGACATTTTGTTGATATAATATTTTCTCTTTAAAAAAAATGTTTTTAAATTGAAATATTAATTTAACTAAATAGTACTACTTTTCAGGCTGATCTTCTGGAAATGATGGTCCTTGCATTGAAATTTTTTTGCAATAAAAACACCTAAAAATTAATACAGAACAATCAAAACTAGAATAACAGTTACAGTTCAACTGTTTATCACAAGAAAACAATAAGATTTGACTTCCTTTTTTTTTCAAAATCAAGTTTCTCCTGTAAAACTCTCAATTAAAATAGATTATTAAAATGAAAGTTGTCAATAGGTGTTCTAAATCTACTCACTTTACACTGATGATAGAAATGATTCTTGTAGTTTTATACTTGTTAGTAAATAAAAGAAAATGTTAGTATTACTGAAAAAATATCTAACATATATTATAGATACGTCACTATTTCATTTTAAAAATGGTTCTATTCTTGAAAGAAAAAGTGTTTTGAGAAAATAATAAAAAAAAAATATTTTATTTAAAGAAATTACTGCGTGTTTGATTGTTCACTAGAAATGATTGTTTTTGAAATGAAACATCTCTATTGTAAAAGTTATCAATATTATTTGAAAAATTAATCGAATCTTTTATTCAATGATTGATATATACAAGAATCCAATTGATTTTATTATTTAACAAAAATCCATTGAGATTAGTTTAAAAAAATTTTTTTTTTCTTTAATTAAAAAAAGTAAATAGTTATTCATTTTTTGTCAATTGCTCTATTCAATAAACTAATATTTTTATGTTGTTCTTTTTTGGATGTATTTTGACAATATAAATTTATGAAAAATATTTGAAATATTCAGATGATTAAGAATACTGCTTTAATGGAGTTTCTAGCAATGAATATATTTTTAATAAAATAAGGTCAAAATAAGAATATGCCTAAACTTATCTTTATTATTTATGTAGAATAAATAAAAAAAATATTTCGCTGAAAACCAAGTTTTTGATAAAATTTTAATTTGATAAGAAGAGTTTTATTTATTTATTTTAAATAGTAGTTTCGAATCGAATATATGAATATGGATTTAGTCGCATTTCTTATCCTCTTTATGTGGATATCTTAAATAAACTGATATGAAGTGAGAAGAATACAAAATCTCATTTACATTTAGAAAAAAAATTTCTGTTCTTAAATCGACTACATTACCTTTGTGTAAAAAATGTCAGAGTGAATACTTCTACGGACATATCGGAAACGCATGATATACCTGAAACGCATGATAGAAATGCATTTTTAAAATATTTTTTGTTGATTGTTATTCTGATTAGATTTGTATATGTGAGTGTTACCCTGGAGTTACTTTATTAAGTAATGGTAAACAATTTTTTTTATTCCTAAAATAAAGATGAAGAAAATCTTTGTTCAATATAATACATGTGCAATAGTGTGAACAAACGATTTTTTCCATAAAACCTTTTTATATGTAGTCTTCATCTGTCAGCTAGCATTATCCCATTTGAAAATGTTGTCGATGATAAAAAAGAATTATGATAAATGTACTCTGTTCCTTCATTTACTTACTACTGAATGGAATTTATCTGTATTCTCTAAAATAAGAATTTTGTTTATATTTATGCCTTATTATAAAGAAACATTTCTATTTGTGACAATTAATCAACCTTTACTGCCCTGATTAATATTTGTAAATTCTAAGAGAATATTGATACTTCCAATTCTCTCTCTTCAAAAGTATTTAAATCACAAACATCTCAAATTACAATGTTTTATTTTATAACTGCAGATATCGGATTTTTCTACAACTAATCAGCAGATATTAAAAGAAATATTTAATAGTTTTAGTTCAAATAATAATCAACAAGATTTTTATCTTCGATTTTAAGTAAACAAGAAAATATTAATTATAATAAAGGAATTTACTTCCTAAAACTGTTTCTAAGGAGACAAAAGTTTGAATCATTTTCATAGTGTTGTTGATTCATAAATGAAGAAAAAATTCATCTCCACCAATAGGAAAATTTACCCTAAGAAAAAAAAGATTGATCTATATTTTTTTGTTTTTAACAAACAATTTTTCCAAAGCTCTATAAAAGGTCTAGTATTGTGATGTTATTACATGTCATTCTCAGAAAAGAATAATTATATTGATTTCAAACAACAGTAACATTTGTTTTGCTGAACAAATCGATAAAGCAACTTCTTAGGTAAATTTTATTCTTAATTCAGTTAGTAAAAACATTTATAATCTATTCCTTTCAATTCAATTTTAATTCTAATAAAACTTTAACGAGCTAGTTACTAGCATTTGCAGTAATACACCTTTTTCTTTTAAATATTCTACTATTCCAGTATCCATCTACAACTTTAACACTTGTTTTTGTTACTCTCTCTGACTAAGTGAAAGATCTAGTAAGCAAGATCTTCCACTAGGGTATAATTCTTCATTTAAATGTTGTCAATATTCATAATTTATAATCAAATACTATTGTGATCAGTAGAGATAAGTGTTCAATGTCGAATCTGTTTATTATTGATGATAATATATTTTTTCATCAACAACCAATTAACTATAAATACCTTATAACCAGTAATATTAATAACAGAGATACTGCAAAGATCCACTCTTTCTCATAAAGAACAGTTGTAATTACATCTTCATTGGCATTTAGTTTATAATTATTAGTTAGTTTTTCAGTTAGATAAATCGCATCTATTCTTCCACTAATTCATCAACTGAGTCGTACAGAAAGGAAGAAATATTTTCATTTAGAAATGACGTTGTTTACTTTAGTTATTTCTTAAGGCCCCCCCCCCACCTTAATTTCTATTTTCGCTTCTGAACATCCAATCTTGCTGAAATTTTCAGGGGAGTTGTGTCCCATGATAGGTATCTCACAGTAAAAATTTCAGCTCAAAATATTGAGTCTAACAAGTTTTACCTGTAGATTACTGGTCAAAAAGGTGGGGTCCGGGTTTCCCAAATCCTGTTGCTATCTTAAACGCTAGAAAGCTCGGGTTTGTTTTAAAATATACCAAAAACCTAGCACTACAACTTAACAGAGCCG